AACGGAAAAAAAAAAAAAAAAAAAAAAAAAAAAAAAAAAAAAAAGCTCCCCAGGTGATTCTGGTATATGGCCATAGTCAAGAAACTGGTTGCTTGGCTACATATTAGAATCACCCAGAGACATTTAACATTTACTGAGGCCTCAGTCCCATGCCTAGAAATCTGATTCCATTGGTCTGGGTTGCAGCCTGGACATCAGGATTTTTAAAAAGCACATCCTCCTTCAACCCTTCTCCCCTGATGATTCTAATGTGCAGCCAGGGTTGAGAATCCCTAGCTTAGAGTGAGCAATAGCAGAGGGCCAAAGACAGAACACGGAGGACCTCCAGCCCTAGGGTTAGACAAAAGCAAAATTGCCATAAAGGAGATGGGTGGGAGATGCTGGAGGAAAACTGAAGTGTTCTGTGCGTGAGAGTCTCAGGTGGAAGAAATTCAGTCAGCAGTGCTAGGTGCTACAAATAAGGACTTCTGCCAAGGAAGTCTGGAACCTCAGGGTCTCTGCTGGTCTTTTGCTTGGTAGCAGAGGCCTTTTTTTCCTACTGATCTTCTAGATGGGCTTAGATGGACAGACTTGAATTGCCCTTCTTAATAGAGTTAGAATTTGAAAGTTAGATCAGGAGGCATAGTAATAGGAGGGAAGAAGCCAATAAGATGGCTTGGCCAGTGAGAAGCTTTTGTGACAGGGACACAAGAGAACTTTCAAAAACTGAGTGACCAATATGCAATTTTAAGTTCTTGGTTGTAAAATGTCTCTATGTAACTGTTTCTGGCAGCCCATAAACCTGTGTTATTCTGCTACACACAATGGCCTGTACTCTGGGTAGAGGGGTGCATCAGGGAGCTAAAGAATAAGAAGTCAAGGAGAATGAGAGGTGGATGGGGAGAGCGTCAACCTTTCCCTAGGAAGTGAGGTGAGAATTTGAGTCATTCTTATCTGAAGAGCAGGGTGACATCAGGTCTGTAGAGGACAGTTCATTGGCTTTGGAGGACATTGAACACACAGTGGGAGGAATTTTAGTCTGATGGTGGAAGCAGATCTCAATGGGCTAAAAAGTGAGTAGAAGTGAAGAATTGAATACAGAGTGTAGAGAAGAGAGTACTGTCAGCCTATGAGTGAGCAAAGTATCTGCTCAGTCTCTGATCATTCACTTATATCTTGAAAGGTCTGCATCTTGCATTCCTAGATTTTTTTTCCCCTGAAACGTAGATTTGTAATCTTTTACAGTAAGTAATAAATCTGGCTGCTTAATAAAGGAACTTTCTCCACTTTCCTTTTGAAAACATAGAAGATGGATATCTCTGTTTTGTGTATCTTGTTAGACTGAGTGCATTAAGACACTGGAAGGAGGCTTATTTGGACTGCACTGTGATCCCGTATTCTCAGCTTCAGTCCACAGAGGGAATTATTTCTAAGTGTTTGTTCAGAACTTGGAGATACATATTTCACATCATTAACTCCTTTAGTATTTGGTTTGCAGGAGACAGACTGACATACCCGTAGAATCTTACCACATTCTAAGAGATTGTTTTGAAATTCTAGCCTTCCACTTAAAGTAATTCTAGCCTTGCATTAAAGTAATGCATACTTATAAAATACTTATAAAATAAAATGGCAGAGGGTGGGAGCAGAGGTAGGGTCAGGGAACTCAAACACTACAACAAGGAACAGAGTAGAAGGTGAAAGTCTTGTGAGATTGATATGAAAGTTAGGGTAAGGAATATCTGTCACATAAGTAATTGGTTATAAAAAATGATTTTACTTTTCAATATGACCATTTTTGTAGTGGCTGTATCAATATTCTGTGTAGTGCCTTTTGGGACAGGAAGTCCCTGTGGCCACAGAGCAGGATGTGAAGAGACCTAGAGCCCTATTTTTGAGTAAGGCTAGGGTTGGGGCCAGCAAATGGATCTGCTATCTGGACAAAGCTGTGCTGGGAGCTCCTGCCTGCTTCCATGGAATCTTTATCTTATCGGTTACTTACCATGGTTTGGTCTCTGGAGCAAGGGTTCACCATTACAGTGGTATCTTAGGGTCACCCCCAAATGGCAGACATTACATAAGTGGATGGCACGGGTTAGATGATGAGCTCACGGCTTTGGGGCACTGCCCAGTGGGGGACTCTGACTGTCCAGACACGAGAGTGGGCTGCAGAGCTGGGTGGAAGGCGCAGGGGCATATGGGTGGGAGCACAGCTCAGACATGCTTCGCATAGTTTGTAGTTTGCTTCAGGCAGAGTGAACAATGGATACTAAAGTCCTGAACCTCCCAGGGGAAGCCCCCAGCCTGCTTTCTGCCACTGCCACCACCTCTGTTTGAGGATTCAGGCACTGCCCCGGCTTCTGAGCCATGGTCATGGCTAACTTTGGGAAATCAATAGTAAAGCCTGCCACCTAGTGGCAGGCAGACATGCTTGCCAGACGTGACAAGTCTGGGTTGAAGAGATGTTACAGTTACCTCCTGTGATTGCAAAAATAACCCTTAAAAGGAAGGAAAAAGCTACTGTATTTGAATGATGACTATTTCTAATTCTCACAGCAATCTGTTAAATGGTTCTTATTGTCCCCGTTGTAACTTTGGGAAATCAATAGTAAACCCTGCCCCCTAGTGGCGGGCAGACATGCTTGCCAGACGTGACAAGTCTGGGTTGAAGAGATGTTACAGTTACCTCCTGTGATTGCAAAAATAACCCTTAAAAGGAAGGAAAAAGCTACTGTATTTGAATGATGACTATTTCTAATTCTCACAGCAATCTGTTAAATGGTTCTTATTGTCCCCGTTGTATAGTAAGGGGACATAAATGACACTTGCCTGAGGTCATATAGTTAAGTGATTAAATGAGCTGAGTATTAAAACAATTAGAACAGCACTTCTCAAACTTTAGAGAGCATCACACACATTGTGGAATGATTAAATCAAGCTAATTAACATATTTATCACCTCACCTACTTTTTTGTGGTGCGAACTTTTAAAATCTACTTTTTAAGCAATTTTGAAATATACATGTTGTACAAGAGATCTCTAAAACATTCCTCACGTCTAATTGAAACTCTGTACCTTTTGACCAACAAATTCCCTTTTCCCCAGCCCTTCCCACTCCCCCCAACCTCTGGTAACCACCATTCTGCATTCTGCTTCTATGAGTTTGACTTCTTTAGATTCCACATGTAAGTGAATTCATACAGCATTAGTCTTTCTGTGCTCAGCTTCTTTCACAAACTTGCATTTTTAACATGTTTCCAGGTGGTGCTGACAGTAAGCACCATATAAAAGTTTGTTAGATAAAATGGATAAACAAAGGCAGAGTAAGGGTTTGAACTCAAGCCTGTCGGATTCTAAAACCTGTTCTCTTTTTACATCATCGTGCCACCCCTTAGCTTGGACTTTTAAGGCTTAATGCAACTGCATACTTTGTTCCTTGCCAAGTTTTTCTTTCTTTTTAGAAAATAAGATAGCTAGTTGGTGGTAGTTTTCAAAATCATATCCAAATTTTGTGTGCTGGAGTGTTTACTGAAGGGCTAGTTATGTGTCAGGACTTTCTCAGACCAAGGACAGTAGCAGAGTGTGAGACATAGTTCCTATCCTCCAAGAACTTTCAGCTTGACTAAGGAAGGGGATGTCTTGAAAGTGTGAAAAGGTCACACCAACACAGGACCTTGGAAAAGTTACAGACAGTACAATAACCAGGTCAGAAAGGGCAGGAATGCTGAGGCTGTGGCATCGCAGAAGGCCCGCATGGGGAGGCATGGGTCAGTATCCTGGAGAATGAGGAAGCTTTGGGTAATAGGGCTTGGGGAGCCAAGGCGTAGGGGGAGGGAAGAACATTATTATGACAGCAAGGAGGGAGGAAGGGAGCACACACTGGGGAAGGACCTTTTGTGGCTCAGACGTGAGGTTGCATCCCCCTTACCTGTCTCATTTACTCCTCAGAATAGACTTATGAGGCAGGTAAAACTGTCCTCACATTGCAGGTTAAGAATTTGAGGCTCAAAATGGACAGGTAAGCTGCATAGGATCACAAAACCAGCAAATGGTAGAGCTTGTATTCAAACCCAGGTCATTCTACTACCTATCTTTGCTTTTTCCACTTTGAGACATTGCTCAGGTGTGTAGGAGGCTGGGCCAGGACTAGGATGAAGCTCACACTCAGGCACCAGCAAGTGTAGGGGTGCGCCTGAGAGGGAGTGCCTCCTTAAATTTGGGGCCCTAGGTACCTGGCTTGCCCCAGCCTAGTCCTGCCTTGGTAGGAGGAGTAGTGAGAAAACAGCAGGACTGCAAGGTGCTAGAGAGCTATGAGCTCCAGGTGAAGGAGTTTAGATTGTATTTCACGGCTTGCCCCAGCCTAGTCCTGCCTTGGTAGGAGGAGTAGTGAGAAAACAGCAGGACTGCAAAGTGCTAGAGAGCTATGAGCTCCAGGTGAAGGAGTTTAGATTGTATTTCATAAGCAACAGGGAGCCAGGGAAGTTTTGGGAGCAAAGGAATGATTGGATCAGAGAAGCTGACTGTGGACAGGGTGGAAAGTAGTTAGAAAGGTCTCAGAGGTATCTGGGGAGGAGGTAATTAATCATTGTCTGGACCAGAGTGGTCCAGAAAAAGAAAGGAACTGATGCCAGCCACTTCCCTTAAGAACCTCCAGAACCTGGTGCTAGGACGCCAGGCCGAGGGAAAATCTTGGTAGCCCAGAGCATTGTAAAGCCTTTCCTAGAAATCTGCACGTCCACTGGAAGAGCTGACTGCTGCCAAGAGGGAGAGAAAGGGAAGGCAGGTGTAATCACATTGCACTTGAAGTGATGGGCATGGGGCAGCCACGTCATCCTGGTAGGGGGGTTGACAGAGAAAAATAGTTTTGGACTGTTCTGCAAAGAGGGGAAGTGACTGAAGTCCTGGATGTCTGCTTCGATCATTCCTGGGGGTTCTTACAGGATTCCCACAACATGCTGGGCTTTGTGGACTGACTTAGCTCTTCTCCCCAAAGCCTGGCAGACTCCTTGTTTGGATTCCTGATCTGTCCTTCCCTTTTCTCCTCAGCCTTCCCTCAGATCATACACTTCCTCACCAGGGTCCTAGCCAGTCCTTGTCCTTCCCAGAAAACTACCAGACTCTTCCCACAAGCACCCGACACCCCTCAGGGGGCTCCTCGCCCCCTCCCCGCAACCTGCCGAGTGACTACAAGTATGCACAGGACCGCGCCAGCCACTTGAGGATGTCTAGTGAGGAGCGCCGAGCACACCGGGATGGCACCGTGTGGCAGCTGTATGAGTGGCAGCAGCGGCAGCAGTTCCGGCATGGCAGCCCCACGGCACCCATCTGTGCTGGCTCCCCAGAGTTCACTGACCAGGGCCGGAGCAGGAGCATGCTGGAGGTGCCCCGCTGTATCTCAGTGCCTCCGTCTCCCTCGGACATCCCTCCCCCAGGACCCCCGAGGGTCTTCCCACCCCGGCGGCCACACACACCAGCAGAGCGGGTCACTGTGAAGCCACCAGACCAGAGGAGGAGTGTGGACAACTCGCTGGGGGATTCTCCCAGGAAGGGGTGGGGCAACGCCATCAAGGTGAGGCTCCAGAGCTCTGCCAGGCTGTTCACCAGGTTTGAACACAAATTTGAGCAATTTTAGATAATGATGAAAGCTAACACTATGCAGTACTTTTAGATGCAAAAGGCTTTACTTTAATTCTTACCATGACCCTATGAGGTAGGTGCTATAGTTATGCCCATTTCAAAGATGAGAACTCTGAGGCATTGAGAGACAAAATAACTTGTGCAGGTTTCCTCAATTAGAAGTCTGCTTCCATGCAGCTTGGGAGGTGGGAAAAGATGTCTGTGTTCCATCAGTTCAGTTATTTCTAATAACCCTCTTTTAAGTTTTAACTTTCCAAGGGCTTTCACTGTGTATCATTTTGTAACCCAGTGAGGAAGGAGTGCGTCCCTGTTTTACAGACTCAGAAAGGTGAAGAGGCAGGCAGTAGGCTGCCCTGGGCGTCGGTGGCAGAGGTTCTGGCCCCAGCCCGGTGCCTGGTGTGCCCTCAGTGTGACTTCTTGTCTCCCCATCTGCAGAACTCCTCTCACGTGGATCGGCGCTCCATGCCCTCCATGGGCTACATGACCCACACTGTCAGTGCTCCCAGTTTACATGGGAAATCGGTAAGCAGTGCCTCATCTCCCTCTCAAGGTGAATGGTATGATATAGCCTGCAAAGCCCTATCTCATCTGGTGTTTCCCTCCCTCTGAGCCAGTCAAATGCAGTCTTCAGGGCAGCTGTCAACCTCGGCTTTACAGATGAGGAAACTGAGGCTCAGAGAAGTTGACTGACTTGCTCAGAGTCACCCAGATAGCACTAGGTCCTTCCCAGTTTGGGTGAAGAGCTTGGGGGGAAGTGGAGGGCAATGTTGGGCTTGTCTTCTCTTTCGAGTAGGATTTTTCCAGAAGCATTTTCCAGAAACCCACTTTCTCCTCTTAGCTTCTCTACTTTCTTCCCTGGTCTTTACTTTGATTGATGGTTAGCTCTGTCTTCCAAACCTGAGTCTGGGTGAGGTTGCCCTTTTGGTTGCTGCTTTCTTAAAGAAATGATGTACTGCAGCCCCTTTGCTGCCAGCACTTTTATTTGTCCTGGTGACAGAATTAATGCAATAGTTGCTTAATGGTGTCACATCAGTGCTGTCCCGGCACTGGGGTGAAGAGTAATTATAGTGGTGCACTCCTGTGGTGGCTAATTTCCTCGTAATGTGTCTACACACCTGCAGCTGGAGGAGCTCTCCCTGCTGCTCACCCGGTTACGGCGGCACCAGGCCAAGTTGGCCAATGTGCGAGATTTTGCCGTCGGCCAGTTACTACAGCACCAGCTGGCCTTTCCCACCTGCCAGGTCAGCACTGGTGGGCCCTTTCAGGACCGGGGGCAGGGGAGTGACATGCTGACCCGCCTCCTGTGCCCGCTCTATTCTGTCTGTGCCGCCTGGCATTCTCCCTCATTTCCTGCCTGTTTGCTTCTGGATGCTGCTGCCAGACACTGCCGTGGGGGTGGTTCCCATCCCTCGAGTGCTGGGGATGGGGCTGCATGTGCTGTGAGGGACCTGAACTGTGGCTTCTCTGGCTGTACGTGGTGACTGCCAGGCTGGTGTGTGATCATGTCCAAAGGGCTGTGCTGGCTGTCAGCCTTGTTGCCACCTTGGGCACTCCTTAGGATGCTGGGTGAATGTGTGGGTCAGCCTGGAAGGAGAATGTAGGGTGTCCTCTCAGTTGGGACAGTGTCCTGCCGACTCATAGTGCATCTGCATCTCTCTCACCCTGTGAACCTCACGGGAAGCTGGAAGAGGCAAGGTAGGACAGGAGTTGTTGCCACACTCAAGGCAAGTGGACCCAGAAGGGGAAGTGACTTGCTCAGGACCCCTCAGCTAGAAGCATGCAGGCTGGAGCCAAAACCCAGGTCCTGTCTGGCAGCATGTTCTGGAATGCTCCCAGGACATTGGGTTTGGTAGGTGAGCTTCTCGAGGACTAACCAGGGGGTTGTTCTCCTGGGCATCTTGAGCAGCTTAAAGAAACTGATTCCTCCCTGGGTTTGTCTTCGGGTAGGGATAGTTTCAGCCACATGAACCTGTCTGATCCCTCCAGGCTGTACAGAGGTAGAGAGGAGACAGATGAGGGTGTCCTGTTTTAGTAAGTCCTGAGAAACTCAGGATATGTATGGGAAAAAATGAATATAAGGGAACAAGTGCAAAAACTGTAAGTTGTAAATTTGGGTGGTTTTTAATAATTCTCCTTTGCTCTGTCCTTAGTCCTGTGGAATGTGTGTAGTGACTAAGCTGATGGGGAAAGTAGAGTTGGGTGAGAGGACAGTTTAGGGACAGAATAAAGACCTTGCAAGCCACTAGTGTCCCTGACAGTGGTCCTTCAGGCCTTCCCATTCTTAAAAGCACTGCCCGAATGTCTCACATGGTTTATTTGTGTGATTGTTTTATATCAGAGCTATAAATAAGGACCACCTTCACCAGTGCTGGCTTGCTTGGCTGGGAGTCTGATGAGAAAGTGGTGCCTGGACCATTTTTCTTAAGCTTCCACAGCCCCTCTGTCTCACAGTTAGCTTGTGTGATCTGCTACATGGGAGAGCATGAGTTGTAGGAAATCAAAGGGTTTCTTCCTTATTTTCACTGTTTCTAGTAATTATACTAAAGAACTTCTCCAACAGACTGTGTTAGTCCATTTCTGTTGCTTATAACAAAATACATGACTGGGTAATTTGTAAGGAAACAATATTTATTGCTTGCAGTTTCAGAGGCTGGGAAGTCCAAAGTCCAGGAAACACATCTGGGAGGGTCCTCTTTGGTGGTAGCTTTATAGCAATGCAGAGTTCTCATATGGCAGAAAATGGAGGAGCGGGGGGGGGGGAAGGGGGGGGGAAGAGAGAGAGAGACTCATGTGCTCTCCTTTTAAAGCCCTTAGAACCACACCCCTGACCACCATTATTAATCCATTCACTACAGAATGGTCCTATAATCACCTCTTCAAGGCCCCACTTTTCAATTATGATAATAGGATTTCCCACCCTCTTTACACTGTCACAGTGGAGACTAAGTCTGGGGAGACATCAATCCATAGCACAGACTATCAGAGAAGTTGCAGGCAGATAGTTTGGAGCCTGGAGCTTCCTCAACTAGCTCCTGACATGGCTACATTGGCTCCATGCTGAGCAAAAAGAACCAGAACTTCCAGGAAGCATCCAATGACTGTGGGTGCTTACTGTTCTGGAACCCAGGGTCACATTGGGACCTCCTGGGTTACCTAGGTTAGCTCCCTGCCTCTTCCAGACATTGAGGTTATCTTACTTCGTGCATGTAAAGTGAAGCAGTCCAAAGGTTTGATGACAAGATTTGGAGCACTGGTGACTGATGGGCCCTAGCTCAGGTATGGCATGTGCTTTTCCAGGTGGACCACCTGGTTCTGTCTCAGCAGCTCAGCACCTGCCTCAGCTGCACTGCTGTCCTAGCCCCCTGGTGGGGCTCACCCAGCCAGTGGGGGTACAAGCTGGTTTTCCCAGTTTTCTCAGTGGCCTACAAGATCCGCCATGCTGCAAGAGGGCTCCAAGCTGCACTGACACATTTATGCTTCCCCCATGGCCCTGAATGTGTTGGTCTGCTGTGGTCCCTGTCCCCTAAGTTGCACGGTATAAGTGATTCACACGTGAAGTCCCAAGTTATGGAACGCCTGACGTTCATGACTGTTTTTTTTTTTCCCTCTCTGTGCTTCATTTGAAGGCTGATGATACCTACCTCCAGTTGAAGAAAGACCTGGAGTACCTGGATCTAAAGGTGAGTGGTGTTGAGGTCCCACCTTCCTTGGACACTCACCTTTCTGAGAGTTTCAACTCACTGGAGCTGAGCCCAAAGCCAAAGGCCACACAGGTCTTATGAAATCTGGATCCCAAATGAAGATGTCTCCTTTCTGAACTGGAAGTGTTTTGTTTCTTACAGCCTCAAACTCAGGCTCTCCTCAGTGTCTTGTGAATTCTGCTGTGAGATCTCGGGCTTACAGAATGAGGGCACGAGACCTCGATCTCTTCATTCCCTTGGTCAGAACCAAAGGTCCCTCCAAAAAAAACCAGTCACTTTTTCAGAGCCTCCAGTGGGAGCGGGGTGTGTTTTTGGTTCATAAGGTACCACCGATGGGTGTTTTCAGCCACAAGTGGTTTGATGGATTCTTTGTTTTTGTTGCTAGGGAGCAAATTCCACATGGAATTACCTGGCTTTGAGGTTTACCAGTAGTCTCCTGTCTCTGTGTAGGAGATACACAACAGGCCCCTCCCTGTAGGTGATAAAGCATCAGGCTCTAAATCAGCTTTCACAGCACAGAGAGGGCCTAAGAAAGCTCCTGTAGAAGTGAGAGCATTCTGCCTGAAAGAGAGCTGCCATTGTTCTCTTGCCACAGCTCTCTGAAAGCTCCCACTGTGAAAAGCACTTCTTACTCCCGAGCCATGAAACAGACTGAAGGAATGTGACCTTTAATCAGCCATGGCTGGGTGGGGGCAGGGGCTGGTGAGGGGCCTGAAGGATGCCCAGACAACTGCGACCCGCATGCCTCTTTGTACTCCCAGTGCACCTGGCTTGAGAGACTTTTAACCTGAGATCTTCATCCAGCCTTGTAGAAGCAGGAGTATAATCTAGGTCCTAAGGCAGCAGATGGGGGGGGAGGCAAGGGAGGCAAGATTGGGGCTTTTGATTAGAAATCAACCAGTTCCCTTATGTATCTGTTGAGCACTTGCTTGCTGTGTACCCAGCTCAGCAGAAGAGAGGAGAGATGCAAGAGAAAAATTGAGGCTCCTCTGTTCTTGAGAAACTACCAAATAGTCTGGGTTGGGAAAGAAAATAATAGACTTATGTACAATGACTGTACAATAACTGTACAAAGACCTGTTTGGCCCAGGTCTCAGAGTTGGGATGGTATCCCTCAAGATCTGGATGTGTTCCAGCTCACATGACAGTCAGATCACACAGAGCTCATGTGAGCATTGCAAGTATGGTAGTAATGCCTCAGGATTCAAAATGCTCAGGCATGGCTGTGTGGGCTAAAGATGGCCTCCAGCCCATCCTCCTGCATCCTCACACAGAGCTCATGTGAGCATTGCAAGTATGGTAGTAATGCCTCAGGATTCAAAATGCTCAAGCATGGCTGTGTGGGCTAAAGATGGCCTCCAGCCCATCCTCCTGCATCCTTGTTGGGACAGAGAGGGTCCTTCCCACCATGCCCATGGAGAGATCCAACAGCCCCTGGCCTCCCCTGCCCTGGGCAGCAGCACACCCCCTTTCCTTGGCCTTCCTTCCTGACAGCGACTCACCAGCTGCCTGCTCTGTTCTTCTTGTCCCTGCCCTGGGCCCAGCAGTTAGCCCAGATGTACCTGCAGAGCATCTACAGTGTACCTGGGCCTGTGGCAGGGGCTTGGCTTGGAACATAGATTTATCAGAGTGTTTGGTGCACAGTGCAAGAGAGAACTCAGTAAAGCATCTGAGCAAGAGTAGTAGGAAATATGTCTTCTGATTCCTGTTTGTATGTGAGAGTGGAAACTCAAAGTTGGTCCTGGAGAGAAACTCCACCTCAGATTTGTTTTATTTCAGGATCATAGAATTTGAGCTATGAGGGATTAGAGAGGGAGAAACTGAGGCAGAGGATGGCTGAGCAGAGCCAGAAGTCCCTGTGTGTCCTGACTCCAACAGAATGTTAATAACAGTAGGGGGTATAATGTATGCTGGTCACTGTGCTTTACTTCTATTAATTAATCCTCATTTAACCCCCTAGGTAGCCCTGTAAGGGAGGTGGTGGTATCATCTTTTAACTGACTGAGGCTTGGAGAGGTAAATGACTTTCCCAAGGATACACAAGCAGCTGCTAGGGGCAGTATTTGGGTATAGCTCCAATTCTAAAAACCAGTGCTCTTAATCACCTTGCCACATGACCTATCTTAAAATACTGCTTCTATTATTGTGGACCTGAAGGTTTCGAGCTTTTTATGGAGCCAAGCTTGGGTCATTATGTTAGGAAATATGTTTGATGGGATGGAGAGACCCAAGTTGCATCGTTGGGGTGTTTTGCTAGGTAGGATCTGTCTGTGATCAGGACATTAGTGACTGGACTTTCTGGAAGTTGTCATTATTTGCTATGGAAAACAGCTGTGTTGATACCAAAATTTCCCTGGTCTTGTAGCTGCTACTCCAGTTGCTAGGTTCCTCACAGAGAACTAGTTCCCCAAATGAATTGCACCAGCAGGCTGGGAGAGGCTTGGCTTACCAGCAGCACATGTTGGAAAAGATATGTTGTGTGCGTGTCAGCAGTCTCATGTAGGTGCCAAAAAGGCTGGTGCCCCTGTGGGCTCCCTCAGAGCGGCAGGGGACCTACTCTGCCCTGCTCCGACCCAACTGGGGTTTGGGATTCCAAGATGGGTGTCTCACTTCAGGATCCAGACAAGGGAAGGGCTGGAATCAGGGGACAAGTGTCAAGGGCCTGCAGACTGTGACTGGGTATACCAGGCAGGATGTTTTTGTTTGCAAATGTCAGAAAACCAAATCAGCCTGCTAAGTCCAAAAGGGAAAATACTGATTCATGTAGCCACGAGCTGCATTCTTGGAGCTCAGGCCATGTCATCACTGTTCTTTCCTTGGTGTGCCTCCTCCTTTCCCGCAGTTCAAGGGCTGCCTTCACAAGGGCAGGAAAGGTAGCCACCTGCAAACCCAGTTTTACTTTCTTTCACTCAGCATCCCTGTGGAGTAAGGGAGGAGTTCCCTAATGGGAAAGCATGCTGGGCAGAAAGAAGAAACAGCAGCAGCTGGCACAGCTGTAACACAGAATGATTGAAGGAGTTAGGCACAGTGCAGGAGAGACAAAGGCTGTAAAGCTCTGGTGTGTTACTGTGTGTTTTCTGTGGCCCTAAGGGAGAGGTAAGACAAGTGCATGGCAGCTACAAGTAGACAGGCTTCCATTTAATAGAAGCAAGACTCTTCTAAAAGGGCCACCCCCGGTGGTGATGGACTCCCTATTGCTGGGGTACAAATGAGGCCACATGAGACTGAATGGGTGAGTGGTTGGATTAGGACAACCCCAAGGCCCATTGGTCCTGAGAGTCTATGACATGCTGGACAAAATGTCCCTGAGACCAGGGCCTCTGTGGGCACAATTTAATGGGCCCTGTAGACCACCCTCGGCATGGAAATAGAGTCAAGCACAGCCCCTCTGTGACCTCTTGTGAGGGGTCCCTCCTGGGTCCTTGGAGGGCAAGGTATGGAGAGAAGCCTCTCTGGAGAGGAGAGTCTCCTTGCCTGGCATCTGATCTGCTGACTCCTCCTCTCCACCTTGTTGACTTAGGGTCCCCAGTGTCCCTGTCCCAAAGGCCCAACAACTTAAAGATCCAGAGCCCATCTCCCTCTCTGATCAGCTAATGCTCAGCTTCAGAATCAATTGGTGGTGTCTGCTTCCCTGCCAGTTGTAGAGCTTTCTTTCTGAAGTGAGCGTTCTTGCTGTGGTGTGAGTAATCAAGCAACGGCACACTCCACTCTGAGAAGGCATGCTATAGTAATGTGGTTTTTGGTAATGTTTACTTCTCTGGCATTTTACTTGGTGGTGCCAGGGTGAAAAGGACTGCACAATGATTAAGCACCTGTGCCCACCTGGCACTATTTGGGCACTTTGATGTTTACTTATTTTATTTAATCCTCCCAGCATCATTGAGCAATAGGAATCATTATCCCTGTCTTACTAACCAGAAATCCAAGAATCAGAGAAGTTAAGTAACTTCTGCAAAGTTACATGGCTGGGATTTGAACCCAGGGTCTGACTTCACACCTGCCTTCTTTCTTCCATATACCGTGTGCTTTTCCCACCCTAAAGTTGTATTCAATGAATTGTATTTCTGGCATTGAAGTTCTGCTCTTCAGAACCCTGCACACCAGCTGGGTCAGAAGAGTGGAGGGTGGGGGTTCACTGTTGCTGACACCTTGAATTGTTTTTTTTTTTTTTTGGAGCTGTGAAGCACAGTTGGGAAGGTGAGGTAGGGGAGGGTGTCTGCGGCCTCTCATGTGGTGTCTTTGTAGGTAGAGAAAGTTGCAGTCAACCTCAAAGAGGAGCTTGTCTCTTGTGAGGGTTGTTCTGTCAGTGGCTCCAGGTCTATTAGCCTCTGGACTCTTTCTGACTGTTTGAGCCTGAGACCAGGGCTTCTCTGTTCAGGGTCTGTTTCCAAAGTCAGCTTCTGGGGCAGAGTTTCTTAAGTTGTGATCTGGGATGACACTTACTGCAGATTTGGTTCTGGGGTGATTCTTGTGCCCACCGAAAAGTTTGAGGTCTATTGTTCTGGAGCAAAGATTATCCACTCTGGCCATGAGCTAGAATTACAAGGGAGCTTTTAAAATGAATAGATGATTGGTTCCTACTCCCTAGAGACTGTGATTTAATTGCTAATACTCAAGTATTACTCTTTAAAACAAACAAACAGACAAACAAAAAATCTCCTTAGTTGTTTCTAATATACAGCCAGGGTTGAGAAACATTGTTTCAAAGTAGTGCTTCTCAAACTGTGATCCCCAGACCAGCAGCATCAGCAATAACTGGCAATCTGTTAGAAATGCAGGGTCTTGGGTCCTACCCCAGACCTGCTCCATGAGAAGCGGGGGTGGGGGTGGGGGTGTGCAGGGCAGCAAATCTGTGTGTTTGCCCTCCAGGTGATTCTGATGCACATTGAAGTTTGAGAACCCCTGTTTTAGGGAGCGGTGGTTCTCAATCCTGGCTGCACATAAGAACCATCTGGGAGGACTTTTTAAGAATTCTGATGCCCAGGCCCCATCCCAGACCAATTACACCAGAATATCTTGGGGTGGGACCCAGGCATGAGTATTTTTTAAAGCTCCCCAGATGATTCCAGTGTTTAGCCAGGGTTGAGATCCACTGTTCTAGAAGGTGGGACAGTGTTCCCTCAAAGGAGCTGCAAGCATTTGGGACCATTGGTAAGACACAATCATTTAGATGCATTGCAGGTGTGAAGGCAAGGGTCTGAGGGATTTAAGGCGGAACATTCTGGATGGGGGTGAGACTGCTGCATGGCACCACTCTAAACTAAAGATTCGGTATCTTACAGAATGTGATGAGGGAAGACCAAGGAAGAAACAAAGTTAACTTCTATAATGTTCCCCCTTGCCTTCTACAGCAGCACCAGGAAGGAAAGGGCACTGGAACTGGCATTTCCACATAAACCAACCTGCAAAAAGATCCCTTCAGGCAGAGCTTATCATCCCCCCATTTACAGAGGAGGCAACTGAAGTCTGGGAAGGTTCCATAGCCAGGATGTAGTATCACCAAAATTCAGGCCTGGTCATTGTAATTGCACAGCAAACACCCTTCTTAAGGTTTCCCCTTTGCCAATTCCCCAAATTCTGGCTGCTTCAAGTGTCATTTAATGTCTCACCTGTTACATTTTGTTGTATTTGCCTTTTTGTTTGGAACAGATTAAAAATAATGAGCCTTTGATCAACGTGCTTTACAAAGTGCTGAAGAAGTCAGCACGGGGCTGTCGGCCCAGGAGAAGCGTAAGATGATCTGATCCATGTCCTGAGCGGGCCATTCCATTGCTTCTGGCTCAGTGCAGACTCCATCACTTGCTTAATAACCAGTTGCTCTCCTGACTGCCCCAGGCTTCCCGCAAGTCATTTGGTTTATTTTATTTAAAAATGAAACTCTCTTCAGCATTTTGGCTGATGCACCAGGCTGAGTGTCTCATTCGTGGTGTTCTGTGACTCCATCTTTTGTGCTGCCAAGGGGTGGGGGAGCTTGCCTGGCTTGCCACCAGCTTTTGTCATGTTTCCATCCTCACTCGTCTGCCTCCATAGCAGAGGCTCACCTAGACAGAGCTGAGCATGAGTTTCTCGGGTTGGAGCAGCAGTTACTGGTCACCTTGGAGGAGCCAGGGTCTCCTCAGATTCCACTGTGGACCTGGGATTAAGGTGGCTACTTTTGGGGGCAGGGAGTTGATAATAGGTTAACAGTCTGGAGCTGGACTAGAACAAACCCCTTCTCACCTCCTTTGAACAAACTGCCCGGTAGCCCCTTTGCTGATGCAGAAGTGCTGACTGCAACGTGGCCAGCTCTCGTAGCATTACAAGAGAGGCTGCAGGTTGGGAAGCAAGTGTGTGCCGAGCCGTCCTGAGCCCTGTGAAGTGTGCTGGCAGGTAGTCAAGGGGAGGTAAGGTGCCTGCGTGGCCTTTGATTCCCTTCTGACGCAGAGACTCTTTCAAATGGATGAGTGCTCATGGACTTTCACTTTTTCTGATGACAGAGATGCTGGGGGTGCCCATAGTTGATGTTTTAAATGGATTTAAACATTGCTATCACAAAACACAATTTTAAAAGGAAAATTGGATGTAATACACTACTTGTGGATGCAATATTTCTTTGTAGCCTCAGTTGTCTGGAACAGAGCTAAATTCAGAAGCTTAAAGGGCCTTTGAGCTGTGTAAACAGCTGTCCCAGAGCTGTGCTCTAAACCCTGTGCCCCTTCCTCCATAGGAGGCAGAACCAACTCATCTTATTTTGATACATTCATGGACTCACTAAGCGAACATTTCCCAAATATCCTCAATGTGGTAGGCCCTGGCTGGTCTTTGAGGATACGGAAATTGCATCATAGCCTCCACAGTCACCCCTAATTAGGTTACTGTCTAGTTAGGAAAGACAGATGAGCAGACAGCACTGAAATCTGATGTGCTGAGGAGCACAGTAGTGGCAGACACACAGGGTGGGAGGAGCACCCTGGAAGGCACCAACCCCAGTTGAAGGGAGAGAAGAGACCTAAGCACCTGTCTCTGTTGAGCTTTGAGTTCTTTTAATTCCCAACCCACACACATTACAAGTAGCACATTAAAAGGGGACAAGAGAAATCTACTTCTTAGTAAAGAGGAAGTGTTAATATCCTAGAGAGGGGGGAAAAAAGGTTGAATATATATTCAGTTCTCTATGAAGGCAGCAAAGGGCATACTTTTAGGAAGCTTTCCATCAAAAGTATAATTTAGAAGACTCAGCTTTTTCAAAATGTCGTTTTTGTGTAGAATATCTTATTCCTTTCCTGATGGCATGCCTCAATTAGACTCTCTGCCTTGCTATTTAAGTATCAAAAAGATATCCTCCATAAAAAACTTCTGTGAAATAAAGGGAAGAGTTTGCTGGGGGGAACAATCCCCAAGCATATCTCAATCTGAAAATGATTTCTACCTAGGAAATGAGCCCACGGTCAGCCCCTTTGGAGAATAGACAAGCTCATTGTCCTCTGCTTTGATGAAAGGACTGTGACACAGAGTGAATACTTCACTACTTTGACCAGCTTTTTCTCCTGGTTCCCCTGAGTTTAAAGCCTGAGTCCTGCCTGGGAAGTTCAGCTGTGTGTGACTCACCAGGATTAATCCACACCCTCCCTTCCCCTCCCTCTCCACCATCGCAGGAGACAGCACAGTCTGTTTGTGGATCGTTGCAGGAGTCCATGTGTTCTGTGACTGTGTGTATACATGTATGTACACATAATCTGCCAGTTTGAAGAGCAGAATTTGGCTGGAATTCTGCTTTTTCCAGGAACTCTATAGCACTTACCTACATGTGTTTCCCTTTGATCTACGTGTAATTCAACCAGCATTCGCTGAGTGCCTTACATTGTCCAGGCCCTGTGTTTGGGGCTGACTTTACTGACATAAATCAGGTAGTGGTCCCTGCCTTCTTCTGTGTGACCAAAGGGAGCATGGGAGTGCAGCCCAGAATCAGTCCTCAGACCAGGCATGGAAAGGTCATCCTCCCTTGACCTTGACCTTTGGGTTTGCCGATGATGATTCTCAGGGTGAAGGGAGTGTGGTACAGTTGAGCACATGAAAGGGCTTGATCTCTGAGAGAAGTGTTTGTCAATATATTTCTGCTCTTAATTCACACTGACAAACTTACTGGACCTCCCAGATGGAGTGGGGAGATAATGAAGGCCATCTCTCCAGCAGTTATCTGACCATCCACACTGGGACCCTCTGTGTAGCACACACACCACCCATCTTTGCTCTGGTTAGCTCCCCCTTCCATTTCCCTGGTACGCTCTGAAAAATGGAGATCAGTGAGATGGTGTCCCCTACATGGGACATCTTAGACCTGGCTATCCCTGACCTTTTCTTGGCCATGGGGTGCATCTGTGAAAAAGTAAGCCCCCTCTACCCCTGCACAGCTTTTGGCAAGAAGGAGATTGGAGGAAGTGAAAACATGGGATGAAGAGTTGGATTTAGCTTCTTAGGAGTCAGAGATGGGCTACATGTTGCCCACTTTGAGTCAAGTGAGGGATGAGAAATGTTGTGAAATCCCATTGGCCTGTAAGTTTGGGTTACTTTTGTGTCTTGCTTTGTTGTTTCCTTTCTTGGGAGGATGCGATAACTTGTAACTTATACAAGTACAGCCTAGCCTCAGTTACTTAGGAATCATTTAAAAACCCCAGCTGGGAATTATCCAGGTCCCTCCTTCCCTTGACCAGATCTTCTTTCCAAATAGTGTAGGGTGGGGAAGGCCGGCCTTAAACATGGGGAGTGGGCTGCTCAGAGACTTCCTTAAACGAAGGCTTGACGATGCTCGGAGGATTTGCTTGTTCCTCCTGGCCCACCAGTCCTCCTACCCAGGGCAGGGAGTGATGGACTTCTGTAACTCGTGTTTGTCCCCAGGTTCAGTAGCAAACCTCTGTCTTATCAGTGGCAAATCTTCCAAGATTTGGCTGGCTGATTAGCTCAATCAGTTAGAGTACGGTGTTGTAACATCAGGGTCAAGGGTTCACATCCCCATACCGGCCAGCCACAAAAACAAAAACAAAAACAAATCCAAGATTTATACTGATTCATCGCACTAATTTTGGACCAATATATGCTTCTAAAATTGATGATCCTGTGACTTGAACGTCTGCATTTTCTTTTATTTGAGAAATTTAAAAGTGTTCAGGTGTTACTAGGATCATAAAAAGTTTTGGTTTTTCCCTAAAGTGAAGCAGGCATAGAAATAAATCAAGTATTGCCTGAGTTTTTGCCCCTTTCGATGACATGACCCTGCCTGCCACTGCTGAGACTTCCACACCCACCCATTGTAGGGCTAACTTTCTTTCTTGAGTTCTAATCCCAAACACCATGGTTAAATCTTTTTTCAATTGTTTACCTCTCAGATGACAGGCCGGGACCTTCTCAAGGATCGAAGTCTGAAGCCTGTGAGGATCGCTGAGAGTGACATTGATGTGAGTGAGCATAGTGACAGTCTGACCCCTTGGCTACGTGATGACCCAGGCCCGGGGTGGGCAGCTTCAGGCAGGGTTTGGATGGTGCTATAGCCCAAGGCTTTCTGATCACAATCCCAAGGCCGTTCCCTTTTCTCATCATCCCAGGCCCTCTCTGAACTGTTCTTGCTTATAGGTGAAACTGAGCATCTTCTGTGAACAAGACAGGATCCTCCAGGACTTGGAAGACAAGATACGAGCCCTCAAGGAGAACAAAGTACGCATCAGTTTTGTATAATCTTGGGATAGGTGGAGGGACGTTTTGACATCCTGGCTTTCCAGAGATGTAGAGTGCACTCTCATGTTAGTATTGAATAACAGGTGTTAGTTTATCCAGAGCAATGTCTTTGTGTTTAAAGGGTGCTTCTTGGGGGTTTCTACCTGAACCTGGAGGAGGGCTGATAGGGAGACCCCAGCCTACTTGTTCCAAGTATTGTACCCCCCTCCCCAATTCTGCTCTGGCCCTCTTCTCTCTGGAGGCCCCATGAGGTGAGCCTGGGACAGGAGTTCCACTAGCATGTATGTGATGGCCCCAGGCCCCTTAACCCCAGGAAAGAAGGGCTGACTTGGAGAAAGTGGCTGCTGTCATTATAGGACAGAGGCCCTTACTTCCTAAAGCTCTTTTCCTCCTAGAATCAGGGATATGGAGGCAGCAGATCTGAATGGGAGAGCAGGAATGGGCTGGAGGCTCCCAATGTTAGGTTTCTTATACACTTAAAGGGCTTTTTTTTCCCCTGAATTTTAATAAGGCATTGTATTTGTGATGCTAAAGATTTATAACATACCTTTTTCCCCAAGAGCTTAGAGAGTTTTCCAACCATGCTTTCATTTATCCTTATAGTTTAATCCCATAAGGAGTTAAATGGCTTTATGCCCACTTTATAAATGAGGAAACTGAGGCACAGAGCTGTTAGGTGCCTACCCCAGGCCACCCAATGGGAAGATTCAGAGCTGGCTTCAGAGGCCTCTCAGCCCACAGCTGGGCTCTGGCCCTGTCTGCCTTGGTTAGATCCAGCAGCTTTGTTTGGTTCCTAGCGTGGTATGGGGAGGCCTCCAGGGACAGACCTCCTATCCTGTTGCTTTTGGGCCCTTCCCATGCAGGACCAGCTAGAATCCGTGCTGGAGGTGTTACACAGACAGATGGAGCAGTACCGAGACCAACCCCAGCACCTGGAGAAGATCGCCTACCAGCAGAGGCTGCTGCAGGAGGACCTTGTCCACATCAGAGCTGAGCTCTCCAGAGAGGCCACTGTGTGTGGAATTGGAGGGCTGCAAACAATTTCCCTCAGGATGGGCTGGGCAGGGGACTGCTTTTCTCATCTCCCAAACAAGCTGTAGTTGAGTTGGTGGCCAGGGGCGAGAGTCTTGGAGTAGTAGAACTTGTCCAGGGGTGACATGTCTGTCTCCACCTATGCCTTAGGCTGCTTACCATTAGTGACTCCCAATGGCTGATGATATTCAAGGGACCAGCTTTCTCAGAGCAGCCTGCAGGGCTATTCCTCTGACCCGTATGCAGTTAATTTCCATTTTTTCATTTGCCAGTGTCATGTGGTGCAGGACCTTTCTGCCATGGCTGGGAATCTAAGCATTCCTCAGTGCGGAAGAGGGGACAGTGTAGGTGGTCAGGGTCAGAGCACAAATGAGAAGATACCACATTCCCTCTTGCTCCCATCTCTCTCTGCCTGAGGACCACTGGGTTTCTTCCCTTCTCTCCTGGCTGGGTCAGCAGTGGTCAGGAGCACAGGTCCCGTGGTGCCTCCCAGGGGGCAGTGGATAACTAAGAACCAGAAGCATTTCTTCGGCCAACAGGAGATGGAAAATGCTTGGAATGAATACCTGAAGTTGGAGAGTGACGTGGAACAGCTGAAGCAGGCCCTACAAGAGCAACACAGAAGAGCCTTTTTTTTCCAGGTGACCCAAGCACTGTCCATCCCTTCTGAACTCTGGTTTCTTTCGAGAGCCTCCACCTGTGGGGGCTGTGAGCACTACCCAGGGGCCATCTCTTCCTTGGCCTTGGACTCTCCATCCCTGTCAAGGGGACACCCCAAGCTCTACTTTGGCAATCCCTTCCCCCAGCCAGGCTGTGATGAGAAGCCTCATCCCAGCTCCCCCTGCCTCTCTGCTCTTAGAGACGAGCTCTTGGGTGTTTTTGTAAGGGTTTTACTTTGGATCATTTGGGGGAACGGACCCGAGAGAAGACAAATACCAACCTTGAGCACCTTACTAAGACATGAGAGTGATCTGTGTTCCCATGGTTCTTGGCCCCATCTTGGGTTCCTAGCTTCTCACTTATACAGATGGCAGCAGGAAGCGCCTGCCTCCTTCCTGCTTCTGATTCCTAAAGATAGATGTTATCATGCCTCTGCCTGAGGAGGTAGTGTGAATTCAGTCCATTGAGGTGCCTCTGGTCTCCAGGCAGTCATTTGCATTTCTAGAGGCCAGGCTGGGTGATGCGCATCTCTGTGGCCCCTGCCCCACTCTGGAAAGGTGGCTTTAGAGCCTGCCTCCTTACCCTTAAAAACCAGGCCACCTCATTGATAGCTGCTTCTGTCTCCCAAGGGTGAGACAATGAAAGGCCCTTTTAAGTTTCTCTTCTCCCAAGTTGGGTCCCCCAACTGCACAGTGTTCCCCCAACCAGGCTTCCACCCCACCCTCAAAGTTTTTAAAATGGAAAATAGCCTGCTCTCCAACCTAACTTAAGATCTGCATCTTCTCCTTTCAGGGCCCTGACATAACTTCAATTTATTTGAATTCAGCAGGCATTAATTGAGGCTTTGTGGGTATGAGGGCCTACGCTAGGCCAGTTTTGGTGCTGGGCTTGCTCATTGACGAACTAGTTCTAATTAAGGCTCTTCATTCAAGTGATTTAATGAATATGTTGACTCTTGGACATTTCACTCCAGAAAAATGAAAGAACTCCCAGAGGGGGTTTAGGTTTGTGGGCCTTGAGGCTTTCCCCAGGGCCCTGCTGTCCCTCCACTCACCCAGAGATGGTTCCCAGAGAGCCCAGTCCAGGACCACACAGAGGAGACTTGCCTTGGGGCTGGCCTGCGAGGTTCCCCAGAACTTCTGTGTCCTGCCATTGTCGTCCCCCGCCCCACCATAATTTCCCTTCCTCCAAGCTAACATATTCCTCCCCTTTATTATATCCCCAGCACTTAGCATAATGGCTTGAAAATACTAGGTGAATATTGTTGACAAAGTCTTTCAAACAATTATTTCTACTTATGAGTTCCTAAAACTGTCCTGTCCTGTTATACCTATCTTCTTGGACATCAATGATCCACATGAATTTTAGCAAATATTTTTAGCATTTCATTCTTCATTTTTATAATTATAAAAATAATACATGACAATATCTCACTGAAAAGGCCAACCAATGAGAAGTAAAAGCAAAAAATGATACAAAAGCTCCTCTTCCCTCTTTTTTTCTGCCCAGTCTTACCACCTTCCCTGGATGTAATCAGTGCTGTCCATTGGTAGGGTTGCCTACCACACCATTTTCTATGTGTTTCCTAAAATATGCACATATCATTCATTTGGGGGTGGAAGCAGGTAAAAGACTTCCTAAAGAGGATCACACACATTGTTTGGCATCTTGCTCTTTTATCATAACTTTGTGTTGCAGAAATCTGTCTAGGAAAGATACCCCTGAATTTATGCTGCCCAATAAAATATAAATTAATTAAAATTCACTAAAATTAAAAATGTATTCCTTATTCACACCAGACACATTTGAAGTGCTCAGTAGCCAGCTGTGGCTAGTGGCTACTGTGTTGGACAGCACAGATTATAGAAGATTTCCATCATCTCAGAATGCTGTATTGGACAACACTAGTTAAGTAAATTACATTGGTTCTTCCTGACTGCTACATACTGTTTCATGGCCTGGATATCTGCTACTTTATTAGCCATTTCTCTTCTGATGAGCATTGAAATTATTTCTAGTGTTTTGTTTTTATAAATGGTGCCATAGGGAGCATCCATGGAACTGCCTTTTCTAGCTTGTTTACCAGCATTTGTCTAAGATAGACTCCTAGGAGTGGACTTGCTGCGTTGAAATGAGCACACATCTTAAAAGCTGATGGATACCACCAAGTTACCCTTTACAAGGCTGCACTTACTTTCCCACCTATGGTGAACGAGAGTACAGAACCTATTTGCCCGTATCCTCACCAGCACTCGATGTTATCAGTCTTTTTAGTTTTTGCCAGTCAACTAAATGGCCTCTTGTTTTAATTTGCATTTATTTAATTACTAGCAGATTAAACATCTTTTCATATGATTATTGGCCATTTGTATTTCTTAGTTTTTGCCAGTCAACTAAATGGCCTCTTGTTTTAATTTGCATTTATTTAATTACTAGCAGGTTAAACATCTTTTCATATGATTATTGGCCATTTGTATTTCTTCTGTTCCTTATTTCCTGGTAATTTAACATATAGCAGGCCCTGAATTCTTTTTTCCCTCCTCCAAAAATCAAATCCATACAATGTAACAGGTCTTGTCACAGACTCCCTGGAGAACTCAGCCCTGTAAATTACTAGCAGATAGGCCAGCCTGGAGCTTGGAGCCTGGAGATTGTGGCTTGATTTCCACCTAGCTCCCTGGCATTGCTCACACTTTCCTTAAGTGTCACGATGACCTGGGAAACTCACAAAGCCTTGCTTCTTTGGTGTAATCCTAGAACAGGCAAGCCACTAGAGTCTAGGTAAATCATTAAAACTGGAGATGGGCTTGCAGCCCTATATGCAACTTCTCACTAATGGGGCTTAAATCCTTTAGCCAGGTTTGGCTGTGAGAAAATTCATAGCCTTTTTGGTAAAATAGGGTGGCTTTATTTATGAAGATCCTCACAGCCACCTGGGCATTCGAGAAACTGTGTAAGAGGCAGTGACAGGTGAGGCTACCTGCAGGTGTTCCCGTCCCAACTTCTGGACAGCAAGTTCAAGCTTTTGCTGAAAGCAGTGCACAGGAGCCTTCCTGCCCAGTGTGCTGTGTGGATACAGGAATGAAACTCTACCCTTGCTCCCCAAAAGCTCCCCTTACCTCATCATGAAGTTCTGAAATTCCATGGCCCATGGAGAAAGATAGGAGCTCTCTGGCCTTTGCTCCTCTCTGCTCTTTTCTTACATGTGGGGTGACAGAAAAGCAAAATAGGGGCAGGAGAGTGGGCTGACAGGAGCTTTGCCAGGGAGCTATGGAGGAAGGAGAGAACTGATTTTGATCCCTTCAGTCACCTATTCCTAGAACTCAGCTGGAGACTTCAGCTCTAGAGATAATCCCCCATTAATTTACACACACACTCTAGGTTCAGTAACTCATCTGTCTGTTTTAGGATACTCATACTTTAGTGTGGGGCTGAGTATCAAACCCATTATTTGCTTGTCAGCCCTGAGGATGTGATTTGGTGTTGGGAGGGTGGACAGAGTGAAATGTGAGCCCCCTTGGGACAGGAGCCTTCTGATGTCTGTTGTCATTACTGTTGGCAAGTATTTGGTCAGGGATTTTACATGATTGGTTCTTTATTCACTCAACATACAGGCACTGAGAACCTGCTAAGTTGCAGGTCCTGTTGGGGGATGTGTCAAGGAGCATGTAGTTTAGCTGCAGGACCAGGCAGGTCCGTAAGTATCACGCAGTAAAATAACTCTTCCAGTTGAGAGTAGATGGGGTATGGAGCCTGCCTTTCTTTTACTCCATTGCACAGGGCTGAGGCTGTTTTCCCCCAATTATAAACTAAAAATCAAAAGAATACTACATCTGATGTTTAACAACCCCCTTAAAAGATGACCACAATCCACTAACCACAACAGACGCCTCCTCACCACTTTAAGGGTCTCTTCCTATCCAATTTTGGTTGTCATCTGTCAGTGCATATGATCATGTAGCCTGTCTCTTTTCCCATCGTACTTTAAAAAAAAAAAGTTTTATTATGTCATTCACATACCATAAAATTCACCCTATTAAAGTGCATGATTCAGTGGTTTTTAGTATGTTCACAGCACTGTTCAGCTATCACCACAATCAATTTTATTAACACTTTAACATCCCTGAAAAGAAACCCTGGACCCGTGATACTCCCTAACCATGTACTCCCTATCCACCCCAACTCCACACTCTTGCCCTAGCAGCCACTAATCTACTTTCTGTCCCTATGGAGTTGCCTAGTCTAGATATTTCTTATAAGTGGGATCATACAATGTGTGGCATTTTGTGTCTGCCTTCTTTCTCTTAGACTAATGTTTTCAAGGTTCATGCTGTTGTAGCATGTATTAGTACTTCATTCCTTTTTTTGGCCAAATGATATTCCATTGCCCATCGTACTTTAACTAAACCTCAAATCCCCAGGATTCAGTTCTGACTTTTAAAAAAGCTCTTAAATTCCAGGGATGGCGTAATCTCTTGTCCTTGCCTTTCCTCCTCTTCCAATGTGGTTGTGTAAGACAGTCTCTCTTTTTTAATTGTGGTAAAATACACATAACATAAACTTTACCTTCTTAAACATTTTTATGTGTACAGTTCACATTGTTGGGCACCCAACCAACAGAACTTGGGATTCCCCTATTCTCCTTCCCCATCGTGGCAACCACTATTCTGTTTCCTGTCTCTATTAAATTAACTAGTCTAGATACTTCACGCAAGTATTTCAAGCAGCCTATTTTTAAATTAGGTGGAAATAGGCAAGCTGGACTGGTAAAAGCTACTCTGACATTTCTCTCCATACCTTGGGCGTTTCCCCTGTCTGTATTTCCCTGGGAAGCTGTGAACCAGGCTTGGCTCTAGCCCTGGCAGTGTTCCCACTGAGGGTGCTGCCCCCCAACATGAGGGGCTATTTCTATTTGAAATGGCCGGATAAATCCTAAGAAGAAACTTCTGGTAAGGAGCTAAGTAGGCAATGACCACCACCTTGTGTTCCTCAGGAGAAGTCGCAGATACAGAAGGATCTGTGGAGGATTGAAGATGTCATTGCAGGCCTGAGTGCAAATAAAGAGAACTTTAGGATCCTGGTGGAATCGGTCAAAAATCCAGGTGAGAGGGCCATCTTCCTGGAGGTGGGGGTGTCAGGAGGCCAGGACCCAGGTGGGCAGGATGGCTCTGGGGCAGGTCGGGTCTTGGTGGTGTCAAATCACTCTGTCTATTCTCCATGGAAGAGGGTCTTTGTTCCATCCCCTGCTTTGTTTCCCTCCATGCTCCTTAGAAAGAAAAACGGTGCCTTTGTTTTCTCACCCGCCTGTGCCTTCACTCTCAACTTCTGAGAGCAAGCCGCCCCCACAGCCCAGCCCTCCTACCAGCCCTGTGCGGACCCCTCTGGAGGTTCGACTCTTCCCCCAGCTGCAAACCTACGTGCCCTACCGACCGCACCCACCCCAACTGAGGAAAGTGACATCCCCCCTTCAGTCACCAACTAAGATGAAGCCCAAAGTTGTAAGTAGTGATGAGGAGGAGCTGAATGCTACTGTTTTCTCTCTAGCAGATGATTGTCTGACCTCTGTGTCCTCAGGTCAGTTTCTTTTGGGAGAGAAACTCTTAGGAAAACTTGGGAAGATGGAACCAGCTAGAGTGCTAAGGGAGTCCTGAGTCGTGAGCAGTTAAGGAGTAGTATTTAGCCTGCTATTGTGCCTTAGACTCTCAAGACTGGCAGCACCCTGAGAGATGGTCTAGCCCAATCCTCCCATCTTGCAGTTGGTAAAACTGAGGCCTAGGGAGAAGAAGCAACTATGCTGAGGAGGGTGGAATTCATGATCTGCATAGTGCAGAGGGGTGTGTAGCTGCTGGTGAGGCTGTCCCCACGCTGAGCTCTGTGCAAACCTGTAAAGGGCTCAGCTGCAGTTGTACAAGCCCGTGGGCAAAGAGCTCATTCCAGGAGGAGAGTAGCCTTATCTTCACCTGCAGTTGAGCACTGTGCTACGTTGTGAGGAGACTTGTGATCTTTATAGTCACCTCATAGAGTATAGATAGGAAGGGAAGGATCCCCATCCCACAGATAAGAAAACTAAGACCCCAAGTTGTTGAGGTTTGCTCAAGGTCTCTATGTTAGTTAGTGGATCCAATCCCATCTCCTGACCATTCTCCTTTATTCTGTGCCACCTATCATCTAATTATACCTTTTGTCCCAGGTCTGTGGCCCACATAGTTGCCTGGGCCAGCACCTTAGTTTGCCTGGCATAGAGAGGTGCTAAGTTCTTTTCAAAGTCTGGGAGCACAGGAGACTTAAAAGAAATAGAAGATGTGGTCAGTCCTGTGATAGCTCACGCCTCCAGGGCCAGGCCAGCCCTGGCTGGAGTCCACAAGGGGTCTAGTTCAAGTGCAGGGAAGCCATAGTAGAGGGAACCTCAGAATGGAGCCTCCAGATTTTTGCCAGCAAAGGCTTTGGAGGAGTCTTTCCTGGACACCACGTGCCCAGGACCTCTGATGAGGTTGGTGCACAAAGCTTTGGAAAACACATGAGTTCTTAGTCCTCACCATCTGTCTGCTTCCAGCCAGGGCCCAGAGCTGGACCCAGGATGTGGCCCTTGACTCAGCCAGAGAGTCAGTGTGAATTTCTCCATCTTGAATCTCCTTCCTAGTCCAAGATCTAAGAGGCAGACTCACTTTCAGCCATAAGACAGGTGGTCAAAAATATCAAAACAAACAGCAGGAATGTCTGGGGCAGATGGCTGCTGACATAAGGCAGGGTGCAAGATCTAAGAGGCAGACTCACTTTCAGCCATAAGACAGGTGGTCAAAAATATCAAAACAAGGGCCGGCCCGGTGGTGCACTGGGTGAGTGCGCCGCTTGGGAAGCGCGGCGGCACTTCTGCCCGAGGGTTCGGATCCCACATACAGACCGGTTCCCGCTCACTGGCTGAGCGAGGTGCGGGGGCAACACCGAGGGTTGCGGTCCCGTTGCCAGTCCCCGGTCCGGTACTGAGGGTTGCGATCCATTGCTGGACACGGAAAAAGACAAAAGACAAAAAAAAAAAAAAATCAAAACAAACAGCAGGGATGTCTGGGGCAGATGGCTGCTGACATAAGGCAGGGTACCTGCCAGCCAAGATGAGGAGCAGAGGGAAGAGGTGCCAGCCAGAGCTGCAACACCGGGATTCCAGTCCTCTTCTCTTACTGTGACCTCGGGAAAGTCCCCTCCCCTTTCTGAGCCTCCTCAGTTTCCCCTTGTGCAGACTATCACAGAGGCTCCTCCTTACAGCTTGGTCCTCTGTGGCTCTCGGGCAGGACTTTTTCAACTTGGTTGAGCATCAGGGTCACTGGGGTGGGAAGCGGTCCTTCTCTCCTCTCCTTCTAGTGATATATGTGTGTTTACCAGTTCTACCATTTTTGTTGTTGTTGTTTGCTTGTTTTTAACATTTGTTTGTGAAATAATATCCATCCGAAAATGACATAAAACAGGAATATATAATTTAGCAAATAATAACAAAGGGACCACACCCCCCAGACGAAGAAATAGAACTTTGCCAGCAACCAGAAGCCTGTGGGTCCCTTCCCAGTCCAGGTCACTCCCTTTCAGCTAGGAGTAACCACTATCTTGACTTTTTGGATAATAACTCCCTTGCTTTTTGGTGGTGGTGGTGTTTTTAAGTTTTACTACCTCCGTTTGCCTTCCTAAACACTTTAATTATGTTGGCATACAGGAAATACTGTACTCTTTTGTATCATGCATCTTTTCTTCCATATTATGTTTATGACATTCATCCACATCATTGCATGTAGCTATCAGTGTGCAACTTCTTTGTTTATTTGGTTGTTTTCTTGAGTTTAGCATCTTTTATGAGATAATACTCTCAAAGTCTACAAAAACAAAAGATATAAAAAAGTATATAATAAAGCGTCTCTCTTCCACTGTCTGACTCCAGACATTCTATTCTCTTCATCAAAGGCAATCAGTATTTTGTATTTATCTTTCTGGAGAACTTTTTAGAAATTGGGGATTCTGAGGTCTTGTCAGGATTGGAAACATCTGATCTTCTGAGAACCAGCGTGTCTCTTAGGCAGGCAGCTTAACTTTCACAAATCAACAAAGCGTATTGCTTTAAGAGAGTGCTGATGAATCTTTACAAAGCAAGCTTGGAGGGCCCTTTCCTGAACTCTGCAAAATTCAGAAAAACAAAGCCAAATTAGACTAAGAAAGGGGGAATTTAGGAGGAAGAGGGCACGATGGTAGTGAGTCCCAGGAGTGGATGTTCATGACAGTCAGTGCCAGTCTCTTGGTAGGCAGGGGAATCACAGCCTTCAGAAAGTACTGTGGACAGGGAGTTTCAAGGAAAATAGTTACATTCATCACATTCTAGGTGGTGGGTCGTGTGGGTAGGCAGTGAGTCATTCATACTGGCTGCCTATTCTGTCCAAGTCAGGAAGGAAGAAATATTTTGTAACCAAGCACATTTCTGATAGAAAGGGCAGGAGGATGTAGGCTGCATCCAGTAAGGTGGCCCAGTCTAAGCATGGTGGTGTGGGATGGCTGTTTTGCTCCAGGTGGGGGGTGCTGCCATAGATCTAGAAGTGATGCAGAGTTAGCAGCTAGCCTACCCTCTGGTGTGCTCCAAGTGGGGAGGAAGCAGTTTGGCACTGTGCCAACAGCATGACCCCAGGAGACCTGAGTTGTGGATTTGGGGCAGTATGAGCAGGTGACACTTCGAGAAATAGAAAACATGAATCAAAGAGAATAGAGATGGAGCAGAGGTATCTCCCCTCTTCACAGCATCTCCAGGGGAAATGTTAGAACTCCTTGGCTGAGGTGGTCATGTTCTGTGGCTCCAAAGTGGCCTGTTCTGGCCCTTTGGGCCACCACTGTGTGTGTGTGTGGTGGTGCCACTCAGCAGTCCCCCACTGCCCAGCTCCGTTGCACTGGGCACTGGTTCTGGTTCTCTTTCTGAGCAGGAAGACGAGGCGCCTCCCAGGCCCCCACTCCCTGAACTCTACAGCCCGGAGGACCAGCCCCCAGCTGTGCCACCTCTGCCAAGGGAGGCCACCATCATCCGGCACACTTCTGTGCGGGGCCTCAAGCGGCAGTCGGACGAGAGGAAGCGAGACCGGGAACTGGGGCAGTGTGTTAACGGGGACTCGAGGGTGAGCAGGGAGGGCCCCTGCAGTTGCCCACTGTGTGTGGGGAGAGGGAAGGTGGCATGATGCCGGGCAGGTATGACAACCTGGGACTGTGCCCACAGGTGGAGCTCCGGTCATATGTTAGTGAGCCTGAGCTGGCAACCCTCAGTGGGGATATGGCCCAGCCCTCCCTGGGACTCCTGGGCTCTGAGAGCCGGTACCAGACGCTGCCAGGCAGAGGTAAGGCAAGATCCTCCCTGAGTCTTTGTGGCAACCCCACTGAACTGCTCCCAACCCTCAGCCAGTTCCTTGTGCCCTTCTGCCTGCAGCTTTGGGCCTAGGTAGGGTGAGCTATGAGCCACTGAGAGGGAGTGCTGGGCTGCCTTCCTCAGGCCCACATCCTGATTCTCTTCCCCTTTTGTTACATCTGTCCCCAGCCATTACTGTGAAGCTCGGCACTGTCCAAGCACTTTATATACACCTAGTATTCACAACAACCCTGTGAGGGAAGTGCTGTTATTATCCCCATCTTAGAGAAAGGGAAGCCAAGGCTCAGAAATTAAATAACTTGCCAATTAACTGCTGAGTGATGGAGCCGGAAGACAGTCCCAGTGCTCTGGCTCCAAGCCACTGCACCCTGCAGGCTGGGGTGTTGGGTGACTGTCACTAGCACAGCCATCTCAGGCCTTCCAGAGGACTTTTTCCTCTTGTGTGACTCCAAGACTCTATGAGTCCTTTCTTTAAACAAACACACTTCCTCCTCAGTTGGGCTGCCTTCTCACTGTCCTCCCTCATCCTGAGTTGGGCTGTGCAGGATGCACAGGGGTGTGTCAGGAAGGAGAGGGTTGATGGTCATTCCTACTCCTCCAGTCTGTCCGCCTGCCAAGCATCCCAGGCCTTCTGCACGTAAAGGAAGCCTGGGGTAGTCCACAGATCCTCAGGGACACTGTCTTTCACTGGGGGCATCCCTGGGCTGACCCCCATCCTCTACCTGGGGCCTTGCTCTTCCTGGCCCTGGGGGGGAAGAAAAGAAGAGTGGCTGTTGGCTGGGCACTCTTGGTCCCCTTACGGGAGTGGGGGGAGATTATAGAGGGACCAGGGGACTGTCCAACCCACCACAAATACGCTTGCCCTTCTCCTTCCTCACTAAGGGCTTTCGGGGTCCACGTCGAGGCTCCAGCAGTCATCCACCATTGCTCCCTACGTCACGCTCCGGAGGGGTCTAAATGCTGAAAGCAGCAAGGTGATCTTCCCTGTGAGTGGCCTTGAGTTGTCAAGGAGCTCACTGTTCCCTCATGCACAGTGGGAGGGACTCCTAGATAAAAAGTGACTCACGATCCTATGGTCTCTGAGGAGACCTCAGCCCCTCCTGAGCTCAGGGTCCCTGTCACCCACTGCCCACCAAGAAGGGCATCACACTGCCCTCTTTATTTCCCAAGGATCCCCCAGCTATCTCTCCAGCCTGTCAGGATCACAGGAGGAAGCCCAAGAAGTCTGCAGCCTGGGTTCTGGACTCATCTGTGCTGCATGTGTGCCCAGCTGGGCAGGCCTGCGCCTTGGTGTCTGCATCTGCAGAAGGGGGTGCTGCCCAGAAAGCACAAGTGGGGCATTGTGGTACTTAGAGGAAGTGTTCTCTGTGGCCAAGAGAGAGAGAGAGAAAGAGAAACAGAGAGACAGACAAAGAACGGGAATGAAGCCAGCAGGGCGGCTGCTCTCTCTGTTTCCAGCCCACCTGCTCTGTGTGTCTCTCGCCCTCTTCCTCCTCAGAGACCCAAGAGTGCCTTGGAGCGCCTGTACTCAGGGGACCACCAGCGGGGCAGGATGAGCGCAGAGGAGCAGCTCGAGCGCATGAAGCGGCACCAGAAGGCCCTGGTCCGGGAACGCAAGAGGACGCTGAACCAAGGAGAGAGGACAGGCCTGCCCTCGTCCCGCTACCTCAGCCAGCCGCTCCCTGGAGATCTCGGCTCAGTATGTTAGGAGGGGCCAGGCAGGCGGGGCTGGGACAGGGAGCAGAGCTTCCCCAAGTCCCTCAAACATAAGTGCATCACACCCCGAGCGAGTAGGCCGTTTGTTCGTTGGTCTAGATACTTCAGAGCACACTCCACAGGGCTATTTGTCCACAACGCAGGCTGCATGTATGACTTGGTCAGAGGGTGACCTTGAACCAGAGCAGGAGGGAGGATCTCACGGCAGAGGCCTAGGAGCCTGAGAAAATATCCAGGCAGTTATCCAAGCAGAGAGGGCTTGAGGAGCAGCTTGAGAGGGGCCTTTGCCAGCTTTTGGAATCTCTCAGCTGAATTAAGGACTTGGGAATAGAGGGTTCAAGGAGTAGAGGAAGATGGTGATATGATTTGGTGAGGAGAAGCCCAAGCAACCCAACCGTCTTCCCAAACCTTGGGCAACTGAGCATGGGTTGGTGCCCACAATCCTGAGGGCTGGTGGTCTCCCACAGCTGGTGGTGCTGAGAGGCCCCAGGGTGCCCAGGAGAGCTGGGGAGGTCTGTGCTGCCCCCTGGTGGTGCTTCATGGCACTGTGCCCTGCCCACAGTCGCCTTATGTCCCTTTTGGAAACAGTCCATTTGATTTTTTCCTGTTGTTTGAAATCCCATGTCTCCCTAGCCTGACTGTTCTTTCCCTAATTCATTGCACAAGCTCTTTTGCTTTTAGTGTTACTGCTCATTGCCTCTCTAATCCTGCCTGATTGTGTTTACAGAAGCTTCTGATTTGCATTGAACATTTTCTAACTGGCCTGTGCTGTTTGTTACGAGGCTTACAATAGCAGCTCTTGTTTCTGTAGCCTAGCAAGCACCCCCAGATGGGACTCACCTTTCTGCTGCCCTCCTTCCTGCAGGCCTACTGACTCATAATTCACTCGTCCCAAAAGCCACTCCGCAAGCCTGAGCCAACCTACTGCCTGAAGACCACAGTCATTGGCAGAGGTCTGGGCATTATGAATTTATCAAAATCCATGCCTGGACAGTAGACACGGACTTCAGTGATTGCACGTTTGAATAAGTTCTACCAAGTGTGAGATTGTTCAGTTTCAATTCCTCCAGTCCCATCACACAATTTTTTATGGAAAACTTTTTGTGTTTCTGGTATTTAATAACTTGGATGGATAGCAAAATACAGTACATATTCAGAGAGCCTCTCTGCAGCTGTTAGCTCAGACACCAAAGGGATAAGACCCAGGACATTCATCTCTTTAAAAGATGCAAACCCAGTAAGTTTTAAATTTTATAAGTTTTAAATGTCATGTGGGGTAACACTGACCTTTTACAACCTGATGTTTCAAATGTAGAGATTATCTAAAAATCGTAATTTGAATATCTTGTAAATTTTCTCTTAAAAAAAAAAAGGCTTGTGTAAGTCTCTGCATCAACGCCAATAAAAATGTTGCTTAATAATAATGGATTGGCATGTTTCTTCCCCAGGATACTTTGTAGAGTTGAGTGAACTTTTCCTGTTTGTGGAAACAATCAGGCTGGGTTTAAATGAGGACTTGTCTCTATTTGGAGCACGTGTGAGCATGTAAGAAAATGTGCGTTTTCTTTGTGAGTCATTAATTTTTCATCCCTGGATCTTCAATTGCCTAATCATTTCAAATTTTAACTGGAAAACGGTCACCTGAGAACCATTACATTGGTTTGGAGTCAGTAGTGAGAGCTTGTGCATGAATGGGTGAAATGTGCTGGTATGGCTATGGGTTTGGAGTTTTGGAGGGACTTGAGGGGACATCAAAGAATATCATGACCATTTGGGGCTTGCTGAGGTGGATGGGGTGGGAGAGAGATGACCGGGGATGGGTTAGCATCCACTTGGCTTCTGCTGAAGAGAAGAGATGCTTTGAGCCTGTTCTATTCCCAACAACCTGCTCAGTGGTCAAAGGCTTTTTAGGACACCAGCCATGGATGAACAAGAAGCCACCCTGGAACTGGACAGTCGTGCTTGGGTCTTAAAATAATTGGGTTTAGATTTTCCCTCTTGTGAAGAGATGCTTGCTACAAAGTTAATACTGTGGAATAGCCTTGAAAACGGTTGAATTTGATTTAGCATTTCAATTTTACATGATTCAGTTTTTTTTCTAATTTAAAGAAAACACCTATCCCAAATAGATACTATGTTACACAGCAGTTTGTGTGCCTCACTGGCCCCAAGCTGCTCCTGCTTGCCTCCACAGCCCTGCTGTGGGTGCAGTATCCCCCAGCCCTGAATGTATCCTTTTTGATACCCAATAGAGAGGCTCTTGCTTAGCAGGACCTCTGAGGGTTTGTGATTTCCCTTACTTCTGAGCCTAGGACATTTGGTTCTTGAGACGTGAGCTGTGACGCAGAAGAAGGGGCAAAGCCTTTCTCTGGAGCTCTGTCCCAGATTCTGTTTTAGGGTCACCTTCTCAGATCTGGGAGCCTTCTCTATCTCTGAGGACTATTGTGAGCATAAAGTCATGGGCTTTAGACCTTTGCCCTGAGGGTGCATGTTTGAATCCTCTGGGAGCTGAGATCAGAGAGCAATGAGCAGTCTGGAACAGGCCATATGAAGAGGACAGAGGCCTTGCTCTCCGTTACACATGTAGTTACAGCACACAGCTTTTCCCTAATGGGTCACAGGTCCATCTTCCTACGACCCCATACCCGCAAGACCCATCCAAAATGGGACCAGCGTGACTCTTTTAGCAGTCGGGAAGTGACTGCGTTTAACCCTCTTGTTTTATTGCCAGTGGAAGCGTGAGCAGGACTTTGACCTGCAGTTGCTGGAACGGGCCATGCCAAGGGACAGAAAGGACAAGGAGAATGGCTGGTTAAAAGTACAGGCCATGCCTGTCACTGAGTTGGACATGGAACCTCAAGACTATGACTTGGACATCAGCAGAGAGGTGAGGGCAGGGGCTTCCTTCATGTTCTCCAAGGAGAAGTGGCCTTTGAGCTCCCAGCCTTATCAACCCTCCCACTGGGGGTATTGTTCTGCATGGGGATAAGGCTCAGCTTCAGTGTAGCCCAGGAAAATGGATGGATAGCAGCTTGAGGCAATAAAAGGAGCCCGGGTGTTTTAGTGAAGGTTCAAGTCTTTGTAACTTGGGGCAATTTGTAATTTTAACTTCTCTGTGCCTCAGTTTCGTCAACAGTAAAGTGGGTTGTAGCGAGGATTAAGTTACTCAATGTGTTCCCAAGATCAGAAAGCCTGGCACATTGTAGGCCCATGAGACAGTGGTAGTTATTGTTCGGAAATGTCCCCTGGAACACCAGGTTTTGGCCTTATAACTGGCCAGTCAGGCCGACTTGGGCAATCAGACTTGGGGAAAATGGAGGGTATGTTTGAAAATTGCTGGTGAGATTTTCAGCCCTGACGGAAGCTGGAAGACTGTGCTTAGTTCTGGTCTGAGTTCTTCTGACGCCCTCTGGTGGCTCACATGCATCATGACAGGGCAGGCCCAGGACAACAAGTGAGACCTGCATCTACCAGCCAGGAATGTCAGGAAAGGCAACTGGGGATGACAGACTCAGTGTCTTCAAGACATAGGTAATCTCCTGTGGCTTATATCATGCCATTTGTAAGCTCTGCAGAGCAGTGTCTATGGCTGCTTCTTTTCACCTTTGTATCCTTAGCACCAGCCCAGGTACACAGTAGGTGCTCTGTAAATATTTGCTGAATGAAGACTGTGTTGAATGAATCACACAGTGGCCCATAAATATCCCCAAAACATTTGTACAGGGGCTTGGCCTGCCCTGAAACTGCATGAGAGGAAACGTTCTCACCACATGAAGGGTGGATATAGGTGGGGCCGCAGTGAAACTTCCTCACAGGTGTGTCTGATAGGAGAATGGGTGCTGAAGAGGAGCTGTGCCACCGGGTGCTTCCCTCCTGTTTTTAAGAGGCAGGGGCGGGCCCACTCACAAGCTGATTTTGCCAGTGGTATCTACCTGACTCAACGTGTTAGGGGCACATGTGGTCTTTGGGAACAAAGGAGCTATATGTACAAAACAGAGGCCTGTGGAGTTGCTGAGTTTTGGGGTCAGCTGGGGCTCCAGAGGTTAATAAGGACATTCCCCTGACTCCAGACCTTTTTTCTTTGGCCGAAGGTCTGTTTTCTCAGATTCACAAAAGCTTCTACATGCTGCCTTGGCAGTCAGTGGAAGTGTGTTCTATAGTGTCCTAATTGGCCTGTCAGCCCAGGGAAAAAGTTCTTCCTTATCTCTAACCTAAATCCCTCCTGCTACAATGTAGTCTACTTCCTTCCTCTAGATCTGCCCTCATTGGAAATAATAGAGAAGAATTTCACCAAGAGTTTGCCACTGGATGAGATAGTGATGGGGAGGAGGTTGGGGCCATTTTCCTCTGGAGAGCAGTGGATACAGCATAGCTACCACCTGTCTAGATCAGAAGAGCTTTTGTAGGGACAGAAAGCACTATCACTTTTCATCCAGCCGTCATCCATTTATCCATCATCCATTCATTCAAGGAATATTTGCTGAAGGGCTACTAAGCACCAGGTCCCTGCATTAGACAGCAGGGAGACAATGGTGAAGAGAAAACAGAGTAATGGGAGGGGGATCAGGGAAGTCTTCTCAAGGTAAGGTTGATAGGATGAGAGTCAGGGGAGCAAAGGGAAGGCAGAGAGCACCACAGGGACTAAGGCTCCACTGTGGGAGGGAACTGGAAGAACTGGTGGTTCAGTGGGACTGGAGAGGTCGGCAGGGGTCAGATCATGAAGGGCCTTGAGGGTAACATTAAGGATAATCATTTTTATCCTGAGAGCTTTTAGTCTAGTTGTTTTGCCTTACCTTTCCCTTCCCTTTTGGGCTGTGGGAGGTTGTCTGGTATAGTTGAACATGGGCTTTGGAGTTGTACCTAGGTTCAAATCCTGATTCCACAATTGACTAGTTTTGTTACTGTAGCCTCTTCCTTATGGTGGGAAGGGAAGTTGGGTGGGGAAGCAGTTCCCAAACACAAACACCCGAGCCTCCCCTCTGCCACCTCCTGGTCCTCTCCCCAGCTGTCCAAACCAGAGAAGGTCTCCATCCCAGAGCGTTACGTGGAGCTGGACCCTGAAGAGCCACCCAGTCTCGAGGAGCTACAGGCTCGGTATCGCAAAGCCGAGAAGATCCGCAACATCCTCGCCCGGTCAAGGTCAGCTCTTGCTTGCTCAATTCTTGCCAGCCCAAGTGGTGTCTCAACCATGCAGGCCCTGGGCCAGGCTGACTGGAGTGTGTGGTGTGCCAGGCCTCCAACTCAGTAAGCCCTGCTCATTGGAGAGGCAGGCTGGTACTCAGCATGTCACCAACAGATCAGCAAGGAATCTTGCCTAGGTCATTGGGAAAGTCCTGAAATTCTCATGGTCTGGGGGCTCACCCCCAAATCTGCATACTGAGTGACCCTAGCAAATGTGGAATGGAAAAAGGCAAGGCTGTGAAGCGACCCAGTTGGAGATCAGCTCTAATGAAGGTCCTCCCAGCATTTGGGCTGTGCTCCCTCACTCAGACCCGTATACCAGAGCCAAAGGCCCCAGCCTTGTCCTAAGGGTGCCAGAGGCCTTGCCCACTTCCCTGGAGGCTGGAATCAGGCCCTAGGAAGTGGCTTTCCTATCCCCTCAGCCTCCATAGCTTTAGAAACTTAAGCCTGTTGTTGTAAGCCTCCCTTTCAGAGTAGGGTAACCGTTTCATGACTGAACTGAACAGCAGCCTCCAGCTGGAGCTCTTTACTTGAGGTCTGTGGCACTCCTAGAGGAGGAGCAAAGCTGTGATTGGGTGTCTGGGGAGAAGCATGCACACCTTCCTTTAAGGAGAAAGTCCACAGTTTTCGTCTGATGCTCCCCAAAATGTTGAGAACTTTGAGGCCAGGGACACCCTCCACTCCTGAGGTTGATGGCCATGGTTGGCAAGGGCCCAGAGCCTGCTTTCTGGCCCTCCTGCAGCATGGGCAACCTGCAGCCAACATCAGGCCAGGACCGGAACAGTGTGGCCGACCTGGACTCGCAGCTGCAAGAGCAGGAGCGCATCATCAACATCTCCTACGCCCTGGCCTCGGAGGCCTCCCAGCGCAGCAAGCAGGTGGCAGGTAAGGTCCTGGAGGCCAGCCTCCAAGGCCAAGGCCCTGCCCACACATCCTTGGAGCTCATACCCAGCATGAGCTGTTCCAGAGATAGGAGTGAGTGGAAAACCGGGTGTCAGGGTTGGTGGTTGAGGGCCAGTGGTATGTTCTCCTGACCAGAGGGTGCCCTGTCCCATGAGGACAGCAGGGCTTGGAAGGGGAGGTGGTACAGGCCAGGCAGTGGGGGAGACCATGAGGGGGCCCAAGAGTGTCAGGGGAAAGAGGTCCCAGGAGGACACGGTGCTATTTGACTTCCTCTGAGATCGCAGGATAAGAATGGGTTTTTTAGGCCCCGAGCCAAGGGATCAAGGCTAAGTTTTCTGATCTCATGAAGAAGGTGGCAGGAAAGCCATTGGTGCTTGGACTTCTTGCTGGGGTAGGGCAAAAGGGGACTGTTCTGGTCCTCCTGGGACCCTTGCTTTGGTTCCCAAACACTCCCCACTGTTCACCTTGTCAGACTGTCTTGTGCCAGAATGCAGGACTTGGGGAGTGGGACTTTGCCAGCCAGTTGGAAAAATAGCACTGTGTGGTGGGAGCATGCATGTGTGACACATGCGTGCAAGCATTTATGTGTTTGTAAAGAGGCTGCTTTCTCTCTCAGCCAGGAGAGAGGCTCCAGGCTCCTCCCTCCACCCGCGGCTCACCCCCCTACACGTGCCCTCACAGTTCACCTAGTGCCATTCTCCCCAGGTGCATGGGCCACTGTGTGGCTAACTGGTGCCCTGGCCAGGTGTACTCCTTCTGGGGAGAGGATGATCTTAGAGCCTGAAGTGCTGGTACAGTCCCTACCCATCCTTCAATCCTGGCCAAAGGGTCTAGAAGTGGCCAAGGGTGGGGCCTGCAGGGCCTTGAGGTGACTGGTCCTGGGAAGTCTGGTCTGGGGAGCAGAGTGTTTCCTTCACCTCAGGTGGCCGTGGGAGGGTAGACAACAAGGGGAGAGTCTCCGTAGAAGCCTGCTCTCTGCCCCCATACCCTGGTCCTGCACAGAGTCCCTGGAACCCCTGCTGTCCTCACTCTCTTCTAGGGCATGCTGAGTGGGCTGAGAGGTGGTCAGTGTGGCATTCTGTGGCTAGGGACATAGGAGATGGTTCTTCCAGGCCCCTCCTCCTAATGACCCTGGGACTGACTCATCTGAGCAACTTTTGAGCTCCTCCCCCAGTAGAAGGTTCTAGCAGGGGCTGCTCCCCCACCATAGAGTGTCTTTCTCTCGCCTGTGCTTGCTCTCACTCTGTGGATCTGCCATCCTCGGCTTCCTCATCACCAGCAGATGAGCACATCCAGCCCTAACACCCGTGGTCAGTTGGCAGGGCCTTACTCCCCTCCCCGCTCAGTGGCCATCTTTGCTGCAGCCTTTCCTCACTTCTGCTCCCTCTTTCTGTCTCAGACACATATCTGGGAACCATGGGCCAGTCCTAGCCAGTTCTCCACCAGGCCCCATGGATCTGCCTCCCAAGTCTAGGACATTAGTAGTGGGCAGGGGGCCCACACCACCCCGGCCCTGCCAAGTGGGGTGGCAGGTGCTGTGGGAGCAGATGAGGAATCTAATGCACCGCTTAATTCCTGTGTGCCCCGTCTAGCGCAGCAGCTGGCCCTTCTCCCGCCTAAAGCCCCCCTGTCCTCCAGGACGGTGCCACCTTCCCCCCCCTTAAGCAACGGACTCCACTACACCTTTGTCTAACACCTTCCAAGTAAGAGCCCTTGCCTGGTGTGCCCCTGCGCTGCTCACAGCCCCTCGCCCAGTGCTGAGCGTGCCTCTCCTCACCCTGCCTGCCGCTGCCGTGTGACTGCAGTGCCCTTGCTGATGCTCCCTCCACTGGCAAAGCAGCTGCTGGGGGGCCCGTCCTGGACCCATAGGCAGGAGGGGAACAGATGCCTTTTAGGGATTCAGTCCTCAGTGCTCTGATGCAATATGGTGTGGTCCAGGCCCCCTGCCTCCCTGCAATCTCTAGAGCCAGGCCGTCTCCCCCTACCCCGCCCCTCTCTCCTCCCCCAGTGCTGCTGGTGCTGTCCAGTACAGGCCAGACTGGAAAAGAAGAGTTTGATCTTGGCCTCTTAGGGATTTGGCTGAAGAAACTGAAGAACTGTAAGACTGGAAAAAGTCCAGTTTTACAGATGAGGAAACTGAGGCCCTGTAAGGGGTTGGGGCTTACTCCAAGTCACACAGAATTGGTGTCAGAGCAAGGACCTGGACTGCCCTTTTAGTCACGGAGTACCTTGCAAGGGAGAGAAAGGGCAGTCCAGGGCAATGTGAAATTGGCCCTCAGCCAGTCAGAATGTTCCAGCAGCACCCCTACGTCCTCCCAGTGTGACCATCTAGTGGTGAGAGGCAGTGTGGGATGAGGGAAGGAGCCCTGCCTGGTCTGGGAGTCAGGAGACCAGGTGTCTTGTCCAGGCTTGAGTGAGTTCTCAGCCTGGGCCTTTGCTTCTGAGCTCATTGCCTCCCCTGGACAGGGGAGGGCTAGCTGGAGGTCTTAGCAGTCCTTCCCTGACATCCTGTCCTGCTCTCGTTTTATAGGGCTTCCCCCTCTCCTTCCTTTATATGTGCTTATGGTTAACATTGTTGGTCACCTGCTATGTGCAGGCATTATGCTAAGCATCTCTTTTGATCCATACAATAACCCTATGAAGATATTCACCCCCATTTTGCAGATGAGGAAACTGAGGCTCAGAGACCTTGAGGGACTTGCCCCAGGAGTTGCAGCTTGTAAGTGTCAGGGTTTGAACCCCTCAGGGTAAGTCCAGAGCCTTTGCTCTCTTTCACCACTCACGGACTCGCCTGGACCACCCCCAGGGGCTCTAGGTGTTTGGAGCAGAGAGTGAAATGAGGGGCACAGAGTGTTTATGTTGCAGGGGGACAATGGGGGGCATGGTTTTCAGCAGGTGTCTGCCAGCCTGGGTGCTCCCCCAGCCTCAGAGTAGTCAGCAGGCCCCAGCCAGCCTGAGGGCAGAAGGAGGAAGGCTCTTGGGAGGTGTGGAGCAGAGGCCTGGTAACCAAAGAGCCATAGGGAAATGCTCCAGCCAGGCCCTTCATACAGGCCACACGGACCTGCCTGGGCCATGGCAGGGTGTGTGGTTTTCTCAGAGAGTCAGGAGAGAAGCTCTGCTGCTCCTGGGTTTTGGTGCCCCCATTGCTGTGAGATAGGCCTTTAGTGCTATTTGAGAGCACACCTACACTCCTCTTGCCTCACAGCATCTTCATTAGGAGGTGGGTTTGATCACCCCATTCTAGATTAGGAAAACGAGGCCCATGGAGGCTGAGAGAGTTACCCAAAGTCATTCAGAGAAAGAAGGGAAGGGCTGGACAAGACCCTAGAGTCCTTGCTCAGGCTTTTTTCCCTGTCAGAGCAGGGGCCCAATTTAGGGACCCACATGTGTCTGGTGCACTTCCTGGAAGTGAAGTGGGGGTGGCAGGAGGGTGGGGCTGAGTGCTGTGAGTTCTAGAAGCTGAGGGTCCCCCGGCAGCGACCACATTGCTCAAGCCCCCTGCTCTGCTGCTCTGTCTGTCAGCCTGTCTGCCTTTCCCTGTCTTGTGTGTGCACAGACATACCTACCGCCCACTGTCTCAATGCGAACAGGGGTCCTGCCAGCCTCTCACTGTCTCCTGTGCTTTTTGCCAGCCCAGGCAGTGACTGACCCATGACCCAATGTGCAGAGGACAAGCCTGGAGCCAGGGGCCCAGTGGAACCAGCCTGCTGCGAGGAAATTGACCTTTCTGCCACCAAGGACACCACTTCCAGCTCAGCAGAGGTCTGGCTGGAGGAAGGGGCAGCCCACCAACTGGTGGGTGCTCCCCATAGGTCTAGGTCCTAACACCCACCCACTTGCTTTAGTTCAGATGCCTTTTTACATGTGACAAGGGCACTTTTGATACACACCTAAAAGACTGACACTGTATTTTAGAACCAGAATATATTTTATAATCACCTCAAGGGCTGAGTGGCTGGAAAGGTGAGGATGCAGAATTTTGTAGCTGCACTTACAGATTCAGGTACTGTCTGGGTGGTGGTGTGCGGGGGTGAAGGGCAAGCTGAGGCCAGGCCAATTTCCAGTGAGCACAGGTGAAAGTTGGATTTGAGAATGTGCTTCCAGTGGATTCCAGCAGTAGACTCATTGGCATGCTGTCCAGGAGAAGAGGGGCCCTTGGCAGCAGAGATCAGCTGTCCCTGACCTGACCTGATGACCGGCTCTTTGTGAAACTACACCAGGATGGCACATGGAGCCCCAGTCTATGTCTTGTCCCTTGGGTTCAGTTTAGAGGAAACAGTGTTTTACAGAGTTTTGAGCTCCACAACCTGCCCACAAGGTTCCCTCAGCAAAGGGCTCTACTCAGAAAAAAAAAAAAAGCAGTTTGCTTTAATTTAATGAAATATACTTTGAGGTATAGAAAAGGTGAGAAGCAACTTTTGTTGTATTATAGCAATAAATTTCACACTGCGTGGCATCTACCTAAAAATCCCAGACTGAATGCCTTTTCTCCAACCAGCCTGTGCTGAAGAGCCCTAGGTCAGCGTCCCCAGGACTGGGGTCAGGTGGCGGGAGGGCAGGCAGTGTGCCCTCGGTGTCCCTGATTGCTTCTGCCAGCAGGGCCATGATGGCAAGACTTTGACTTGACTTCCAGCCCCAAATGAGAAGGGGGCTACCAAGCCAGGTGCAGTGTTTGTGGCCCTTTATTTAAGTCATATTCTCATGATATTCTGCATAAAGAAAATGATAGTTAAAAAAAAAAGGAAAAAAACCTCCATCGGGTGAAGTCACACTTTGGAATTTGCCTTTGACTATGCTCATAAAAAAAAGGAATCTTGAATATATTTAGAAGTTGCCGTCTATTTTTAACTAACTCCATATGCTGCCAGTATCGACTTCATGATATTTGCCAAAATAAAATTTTATTTTTGCCTTTATAAGATTTTGTTGGAAAGATGAAATGAATATTTTGCAAGAAAAAGTTAATTTAAATAAAAGCGTAAGGGTTTGCAAAAAAAAAAAAAAAGTGTCGTACAGATTAAAATATTAACCTGATATGTTTCCTGTTTATTGCTGGTTGTATTCTCTTGTGAGTGGCCCATGTTCATTTTTTTCCATTTCTTTGGAAAATCCTCACTGTCAGCTCTTGAGCCTGCTCTGTTGACCTATGAAAAGTTTCTCCTGATGACAGTTCCTTGACGCTTGATTGACTTTGAAGGCCTGTGCTTTCTGGGCTCTTGGCTGGGTTTCCGCAGCTGCTCAGGGTGGCCCCCCATCCCACCCGAGTTGAGGTGCTGCCAGGCTGTGGGCTCCCATGTGGGGTTGGTTTGACAGACAGACGTAATCCAGTCCAAGATAGTACAGGGAACGCTACCGGCCCCCTTCCAGCCCATATGCCTTTGCTCATTTCAGTAAAGCGGGTTAGTGACGGACCATAGCAAACTGGATTCACATTTAATTCATTTTGACTTGTGATGTATGCTTAAAACAGAAGGCAAGAGGCCAGTTCGGTTTAGGGATGTGTATATTTCCAAGTTTGTTGTTATGGCAGTTTTTCTCTGCTGCCAAGAAGAGCATCTGAGGTTTGGAGTGAGTTTCCAACAATTTAAACTGGGTAAAGTAGACTCCAAGGCATTCTGAACAGGGGATACTGCTGCTTTTTTAGCTACTGATTTCTTTTTGAATTTGAAAATAAAAAATACTCTGGTTTTAAGCATTACTTGGAGATGTCTCCATATCAGATGAAAGAGGGGAGGGATATTCCATAACTGAGAGCAAACCGCCCACCCCTGCCCCCACAAAAGCCATAGGAGGCAATACCCACCCCACAGGGTGGCCATCTGTAGACATCATCTCAGTGAAAACATGTCTGGTTTTCTGACTGTTGGTCTCTGTTTGTTTCATACATACAATCCTGTGTAAGTTGGAACATGGCAACTTTCTTATCAGCTGCTCTTTCCAGAGTGTTCCATCAGGGAGGAGATTTGCCTGTTCTATAACCATTGTGGCCCAAATTTCAATCTACAGTGTGTGACAGGCCTTCAGTGGAGAACATGCGTGGTTCAGAAAAGGCCACTCTAGCTCCCCTGTGCAAGTGGGCAGCGCGGCACAGTCCCCTTCCCAGCCCCTTGGAGGGGACCTCATCACCTAAGGTAAGATGGGGCCATTTGTGAAAGTGCTGGCTGACCAGGGACAATCCATGTGGCCCAGCGATTCCAACTTCACTTCCTTACAGGAGATGCCAGGGTCTGAGCAGGGTTTTAAACAGAGGGCTTGGGGGCCGGCCCGTGGCTCACTCGGGAGAGTGCGGTGCTGATAACACCAAGGCCCCGGGTTCGGATCCCATATATACGGATGGCCGGTTCGCTCACTGGCTGAGCGTGGTGCTCACACCAAGTCAAGGGTTAAGAAAAAAAATAAATAAACAGAGGGCTTGCAGATGTCAAAGGGGATGCAGATGTGCTTCTCCTGCACCCATTTGCTGATAT